TCCTTCTGCGTTGCCTGACTGGGAACAGTTGGGTACTAGCAAGCTTTTGAATGCTTGCTGAAGTCTGTGTGAGGTCAGACTCAAGGGTTTAGACGTTGGCTTTTCATGTCTGCATTAGTAGAAGACTTAACTTCTGATTTAGTGATGATCTGGGGTGCTGGCAATTAACACAAGACAGGGGACATCTGTTCTGGTTTTGTGCAGTTGTAGTTTAGCATATTGAAAGGTAGCTTTAATCTATGCGAAGCACTTCTCATATTGTCCTTGCAGAATACTTCACCAAATTCAAAACGAAATTAGTGTGAATTGCTTAGAACTCATTCTGGGTCTGCAGTGACTGTGACAAAATTAGGTGAAATGAGTTTTATGATATTTCACAGTCAAAAGTAGCTCATAGCAGTCTGGAGTAAAGTACAGTAAACCCTGTCTGCCTTGAAATAATTGCTTTGCTAAGCTCAGAGTGGTACATGCTGAACAAAAAAAGATCATTATTCACCGAATGAGAAACTGTCTTTTATTCTTTTGAAGCAAAACAATACGCTGGCACATCTCTTTATCCACTGACTTTTTGGAAAGCATTAATTTAAGAAAAAAAAAAAATTGCAGTCCCCAGCTTATGTCAGTCTGGAGTCAGTTCCCTGGAATGAATGCTCGATATAAAAATCATAATAGGTAAAAATGATTTATTTCATAGCAGCTGGCATAAATCTTGTTTCTAGTGAGGATAAAATCCATGTAAATTAATCATTACAGTAAATGGTTGTAATTAGGATTTATTCATTTCAAAGGTCTCATAATTATATAATCAACTTTTAGTGTATTAAGATTTATAGTTTCAACTCTTAATTCCATTTTATTCAGGAACAGAATTTGTTGGGGGAGGAGTGTTTTGAGAAGCTACTTGCTCTGAATTAGAAATGGAAGATGGTTCCTTTTCAAATGCTGTCTAATTATGGTGTTGCAGAAGGCTCAAATTCTCCAGCAAAAATAAACCTTACCGTTTTAAAAGGACTCTTCAACTAGCTGGAGTCATAGCTTCCACCCATCAGCTTGACAGTGCTGTACATGTGTATGTGTACATCATCTGAACAAACCAGTGACAGAGCAATGCAATAGAAAGCTGTTGCCAACTCAGGATTGTCTGGACTATTAAAACTTCTCTCTCCTTTTTATTTCAGTCCTTACCAAGTGCATAGAAGTAGTATTGAATACAGTAGTGGAGGGCTAAGGTCAGCAAACCAGCTGAGAGCTGAGTCTGTCTGTTTCTTTAGTGGCTGGCACTTGATGGGGCCAAAACTCCTCTGAGCCCTGGCATCTCGAGTACAGCTGAGGCTCCTTGACAGATAACTGTGACAGTCTGAAAAATTAAGGCCTCTTCCCTGTTCTCTTTATTGAAAAGAAAGTTTTTCTTTGGCCATCTCAATGCTATTACCTAAAACAATTTAAAAAGCAGTTTCAAAGTTTCTCCTTAGCAGAGGTGGAAGGCTTCAAGTGGTACACTGAAAATTAATGACACATTTGTAAGGATGTGACTTGCTTTGAAGATCTAATTGTTGAAGGCAAGACTGAATGGATTTATTTGATCTGTCAGTTCATGGCTTGATATTGGAATTGATTTTTTTTTTTTTTTTTTTTTTTTTTTTCCCCCCTCTGTTGGGCTTTAGGAAGCTAGGATTGCAATGACAAATTTTCTTACTTCCTTTTCAAAGTTAATGCCATTTAATAGAAGATTGTAAAGGCTAATTCTTCATGTGCTGCTCCCTATCCTTCCTGCTTCTACTAAAATTAAATAAAAGCAGCTGTACTGCTGTGGTTTGACTCTTCTTGTCCTCCAGCCACTGCAGTCAGAATCAGTAGAACATCTTCAGGCCACTTTTAATGATACAGTAATGTCTGGAAATGTTTCTAAAGTTTGGAGGACAGCTTTCTCCAATCTTTTGCAGGTAGGATTTTGAACTGATGGCTGTCCAACATTCCTGTTGGGATTTTCCCCTGCATTATGCTGCAGTGCAGAAATAACTTCACTGCCACAGCACTTCTGTCCCCTTGTTTTCTGTTTACACTAATAAAATACACTGAATTAATTTCTTCTTTGTTCTCCAGCAAGGGTAGGAGGGCACATAAAGTCTTGGTATCTTTCTCTGTTCTGCCGTTCCCCTGTGTATATTAATGTCCTGCTATTAATGATGCTACCAGGAACTCATACAGCCACTTAGAATTGTGCAAGTACTACCAGAATCTAAAATTTATTTAACCCTCAATTATACTATTGAATTTAAATAACGTGGTGATTCTTGTCTAAGGGGAAAGCAAAATTTCTCACTGATAGAAAAACTTTTCATTGTAAATTTATCAGTGTCTTGCGTAGGCTTATTTTGTTTGCCTATGTGTAAACCAAAACTGAAGTATTGTACTTCTAGGCGGTAGGTTGTCTTCAGTTGTTCGTTTAAATTCCATAGACTTCTTTTTATCTCCATTTTTTCCTAAAACTCCATATGAATTCAGGACAATATTTTTTTTTCTCTACTCCCTCCTCCTACCTCACATCCCTCCCCTTTAATTAAGGTTCTGAATTCTGGTACTCAAAGCCCATGAGATTTAGTAAATTTTTTTGAGACCATTAATGAATCATGCTGATGCATGCCCTGTTTCCTACTCTTCACTAAATATAGAGGCAGGACTGGGTCACAATGTCCTCTGGTGTCACTGGTATCACATCAATCTTCTTAAATAAGGTTAGCTCTGTCTTTACAGCTGTAGGGATTTTTGCCTTCCTTGTTAGTACTGAGGAGTCTGTTCCTGATGCTCATGGCCTGAATGCTTTGGAGTAGGCTGAATATTTGGAATATACTCCTCCAACCTACAGATATATCTGTTGGTATTTCAGAGCTGCTTGTCCTTGTGTCAGTAGTATATCGTTAAGCCTGAATAGCTCTTCTGTCGTCTTAGCATTTATCTAGGAATATACTAAATGATGGTAATTCTATCTTTTCTCAGCCTAGCTGTGAGAATCTCAAACACATCTGAGACTGCTCTGGATTGGTAGGTAGGCAGCTGTTTGCCATGCAGTCCTGTTCACTTGCACCCAGAGGAATGCTTCAGATGGAGAAGGAGCACAGAACCTTGGAATTGTGCAAGATTCACCTTCTCTACTGGAAAAACTGAAATACACTGTAGACTTTATTTCACAATTGCACATTATGCTCTATGCTGGCTTAAGTAATCGCAGTGACTTCAGCACAGCTATGCAGATAAAGCAACTGCAGCTGGGCCTGAAAGTAGCCTTTACTGGGAACTTTCTACTGGGGACTTGGTCTTTTGCTGTTCTTTCATAGCCTTTTCATTAATACTTAGGTATAATCAACTATATACGTACTCTTGAAAATTATCCTTCATGATGTTGATTAATATAGTCTTTGTATGTTTCATCAGCGAAGTTTTATTTTGTTTTCAATATTGCTTTTGGATTTAGTTGAAAAGATGTTAAAAAAAATAAAATACTTCAGTCACTCATTTGTTTGCTAAAAAATTTGAAAGTCTAATCTCCTGCCCACCAAAGTCATTAAAGATTGGAGGAAAGATTTGGCTTATGAATATCGCACTCATAATGAAGAAAATGTGCTGAGTTATGCTTGTGGATGAGAAGGTTGATTGATTTGCTTCATAAAGCCCTGAAGTTAGCCACCAGTGCCTAAGAAAAATCATGTTCATTGTTGTGGTATGTCAGCTTTCTTTTGCAATTGACTGGAAAATCTTTTAAAGCTTAATTCATGTATCACTGTAAATAAATGTAGCTTATGCAAGGCTCATCCCTCTGCAGCAGCATTTAATATGCTCTGTGTACCTCTGGGAGTGGAACACACAAGTGGGAATAGTTGCTGGGCTGGGGAGCATCAGCCAGTGCAGAGCTTTTGGGGAAATAAGTTGCTGTAAGGGATAGTTGGTCTGGAGGCTGCGCTGTCGGTCACATGTGGACACGTGTGCACGTCTTATATGTAGCCGATTTCAGGTTTTTCTGTTTCTTAAGCCATGCAGGATTTTCAGTGCCATTCTCACAGATTTTGAAGCAGCCAGTGAGTGGCTAACAGCTGCAGTTCCCACTTACCAAGACTCCTGAGGGAGTCTGTGACTGGGCTAAGCAGTGCTGAAGAATTTCAGCTCTGTGTCACCAGATGTAGATCTGAGATTTCTCTCTCTGTGTGAATGTTGGTGAATGTGCAGACATTGCAGTGTTGCAACACTTTAGCTGTTTTTGTTATAGTCAACTATGTTGAAGAGTTTCATGAAAGGTGAGGTCACCTTTGCTGTACCCCATTTTCCTGGTGAGAAACCAACTGCCATGTTCTTGGTGCTGTAATTTTTTCCTCTCCTTGAATAAGACACATTGTTGTCTTTCTTTCCCAATGTTCCCCTTCTCCTCCCTGACTGGGATTCATGACTTCAAAGCACCTTGTTTTGTTGATGTAGAACTGATTTTTGTTCCTGATTAAAGAAGGTACAGTAGCTCCTGCATAAGTACGTTCTTGTTGCTGTGTACTGATTTAAGGAACGACAGCTGCTAGCTTCTGAGGGACTAGCAGCGCTCCTTGAGAGCGTACAATAGATCTGCTGATGGATTCATGTCATTATCCTGGGCATATATTGACAATATGTGTATTTGAAACTATTCCTTTAGTGCTTCTGAGAAATTCTGGCTCTCTTTACTGGTCCTGTACTTCTCAATAGTACAGGCATAGGCAGGACATGCTTGTTGGCCTTGGTTTGTGTTTGTCATGTGGGGGAGCAGACAGATTTGAAGAGGATGATTTTGGTTGACCATGGCCAAAGGTGGGCTCTGAGTTTGTGCCAAGTAGTGACTGTGTTGTGCAACAGAGAAGATACTACTTGGGGCTGTTGGGCTTGACTGTGCCATGCCTAGCAAAGACTGTGTGTCACATTAGGCTCAATCAAATATGATGTTTAATGACTCTTATTTCCCCTTTCATTTGTGTCTCTCTTAGGGTGTTTCAAAGATGACCGTATCGTATTCTGGACTTGGATGTTTTCTACATATTTTATGGAGAAATGGGCCCCCCGGCAAGATGATATGCTCTTCTATGTCCGTCGAAAACTGTCCTATGTTAGTGGTGATAGTACAGATGGGAAAAAGGTGAGTAATGATATGTACTTTAATTTGGGAAATTCGAGTGAACGTGGTGTTTGTTGTTCTGGAGAACCTAATGCATCTGAAGAACTGCAGACCAATGATGAGGAACTTCCAGATTTGCCTACCATGAGCAAAGCCGATCCGTAGGGTTAACATTGCGAAGTTTTAAATGAGCTTCGCTATCATGGGCTTGGAGAGATAAGTGAGTTTGTACGTCTTTTGGGAAGTTTTTTGTAGTGGTCTGCCTGCATTTATGGGAAAGGGAGGGTATCCAAACTATTGTTTTCCTTTTCATTGATAATATTTAATGAATTGAGAATTTAAATCTGTGGGAAGGTAAGAAAAAGAGGAGAAAGATCATCACTGAAATTTTTCTAGAAAAAGGCTTCCTAAGATACCAGAGTATCTGGAATAAACACCTACTGTGTACTGTAATGTGTATACCTACTGCTGGCAAAATACATGCAGACTGCTAGAGCTGGAATACGAGTGAAAGAAGTGGAGAAACTATTTTTAGGTATACTTAAGACAATTTGCATTCCTGTAGAAGTACTATTTCTCGAGAACATGTAATCAGGTAGCTTAATGTTGCTGCAGAGGCACTTTGCAGTTACTGGTAAGAGAAACTTCTCAGCATGTCGTGGCAGTTTTCACCTTAGTTGAGGGAAACATTAGCAAGAGAAGTGATAGTTTTAGTGCAGATGAAGAATATGACTTATAGGGTGGTCAAAAGAGGGAAGGTCATTGTGATAGGAAGAAACTGGGGTTAATTTCCTTACTTAGGTAAATAATAAATACTGTTGAATCACAGATGTATGTATATAGTGTGAGTTGTTTGTTTATTTTAAATTGGGTGTGTTGTTTGGGTGAAAATATGGTCACATAGCTACCGTTATCAATTTCCTTGAAAAAGGATCCTAAAAGAGACTTTCCAAAGGTGTGTTTTTGGTTGCTGCTTTTTTTGTTGTTGTTGCTGGACACACGGGAAATGCAAAGGGTTATCTTCTCTTTCCAATATGCCTGCAAGTTCTATCGTGCCAACCACTAAGGAGAGGATGATACAATATTGACCTTTTCCTGTCTGGCTGGTACTTCCTTACTTTTCAGCAAAGAATTCAGGATAACATATTTGCTTGTTTAAGACTTGGAGGAAACTTTGATCCTAAATCGTTCAAATGATTACAAATACATTTGTCTTCCACATCAAACAACACTGTGGCTTTGTTTAGCATAATAAAAAGATGCGTCCATTTAACCTCTTATTCTTTCCCAACACAGGAGGTGGACCCTAGAGGAATTCTGATGGCTTAAAATTATTTTATGGACTCCAATCAATCTCTGTTTAACTTATTTAATAAGTTCAGACTGTTTGAACCTCCCTCAGAGAGGAAAGTGAAATAACCCTTGCATTTGCTATCAGAGCTTTATTTAAGCCTCATTAAAAACCTCATAGATAATTTTGATTTGTGAGCACTATGGTAAGTGGTAGTTATTGCAGAATCAGCATTAGTGAATTGCTTTAGTGAACTGCTTGCCATAACAACTGACATGGAGAGCATACGTTATATGTAGCTCGTAGTCAGTGGAGGTTTATAAAATACTGTTTTGCACCTGTCCTGTTCAGTGATAAAATAGACTTCCCGAGATCTTTGAATTATAAATAAACAGCTTTTGATTTGACTTTTTGGCATTTCTTTCTTGAAAGATGGTATCAACATACTTGAGTAATATCATTAAAAGAGGAAAAAGCTGGAGACCAGTGGTTTTTTTGATCTCCCACTGACCTCAAACATCCCTGTCATCCACTCAGCTGTGTGCTCTCATTTATATCCCCAGAGGTATATTGCAAAAGTGGGGAATGGGAGATGTTTTGGCTTGCCTGGGACCCCAGAGGTAGAATCAGAGCTGCCCTGCAGGCACGTGCCTTGTGATTAAATGGTGTCAAGCTGTCACTAATGGTTGCTGTCTGTAATGGTGACTTCTCTGTTGGTTATGCAGAAGCCTGAACATCGGGTATTTGTAGAATTGGGTCTATGTAACTTGAGTATATGATAAAGCAAACTCACTGTAGTTTTTCTGTAGGCATTTATTTGAATCATAGAATCATAGAATGGCTTGGGTTGAAAAGGACCACAATGATCATCCAGTTTCAACCCCCCTGCTATGTGCAGGGTCACCAACCACCAGACCAGGCTGCCCAGAGCCACATCCAGCCTGGCCTTGAATGCCTGCAGGGATGGGGCATCCACAGCCTCCTTAGGCAACCTGTTGCAGTGTGTCACCACCTCTGTGTGGAAAAACTTCCTCCTAATATCTAACCTAAACCTCCCCTGTCTTAGTTTAAAACCATTCCCCCTTGTCTTATCACTGTATAAGCTCCCTTCAAGTATTGGAAGGCCACAGTGAGGTCTCCCTAGAGCCTTCTCTTCTCCAAGCTAAACAATTGCTCTGCACTTGTCTGACAACTGCTAGTTTTGACTGAAGAATGCTGGTAAAGGCCTGGGAGATTAATTGCCCTCTGATATCTCAGAGTATTAGTTATATTCATGAGCATAATACCTGCACAGCTTTGAGCACAGTAGTCTCCTATAGGCTGCTTTGGATACCAGCAGTAGGGTTGTTTGTTTTCTGACATAATGAGCTCATGCAGCATGCTCATATTGCATGCTGTAAAGATGATTCATGTCAGCAAGAAACAAATGATGACTTAGCACACACATTACATGTTTTGATAGTTGTCCTCTGTGTTTTAGGTCATTCCTGCTCATGAAATTTCATTTTGAACAGTCTTTTAAATGACCTGCTTCATAGACCTCATAGTGTAAGGAATTTTCCATTTGCTTCTCCTTTCCACTTCACCAATTTCTAAGCTCTGTGTATACAAGTGAAGCAGCAGTTAAGTTCTTAGTATGGTCTCTGCCAGGGCAGAACTGCCGTATCTAATTCTATACTATCTGTGTTACAGATTCTTGGATCCCAGGTAAGTGCCTTTGAATGTTTTCTTTTCTTGGCACTTTGCAGTAACAATCTTTCAGTTCTCTGTGCCAAGTTTTGAAGATGCTTTTTTTTCCCTATGTCTTTAAGCAAAATTATAGATTCCCTGTAGGATCAGTGACAGCAGGGCAGTGTGGAATGTAGCTCTTATCAAAGATGATTTACTATGATTTTAAGGTAAAATCCCTTTAGCCCATGGCTCTTTATGTGCAATTAAGTCAAGAGTAGAAAAATCCTTTTGCCGCTGCCTTACACTGTATCTAATATGACCGACTGGAAAATACAAGCTCTGATCCTCACTTAAAAAGAGTCCCTTGTGTTGCCAAAACCTTTAAGGTTACAGTGGTTGGACTTGGGATTCTGACTTTAAAATGGCATTAGATCAAAATTTAATATTTCTTAATCTTTCCAACCCAGTAGCCATTTATAAAGGATTATGCTTTGTTACAGTTGCAAGCTTCTGATCATTCTATAGAAAGCAGCTTTACCTTCTCTTAGGGATTAAGAAAAATACTAGAATGGTGTTAGCAGGGATAACTGTGTAGTAGGGAAACCAAAGTAAAACCTCTAAGAACAGTGTATCAGCAGAGCAGGGTACACCTTCTGGCATTGTTATCTGGCAAGGATGCTGAATTTATATGGCAGAGATATAAGTACAAGTGAGCTTGCCTGGATTTTGGAGTAGGTCCTATTTTCTACAGCATCCTACAGTTGTGAGCTAGTGGATTTGATGCCAAATGCATATGGTAGTCACTTAGGCTGCTAATTCTTCACTAAGCTTAAGCTACTGATTTGTCTGTGGTTTCAGAAACAGAACTGTGCAGGAGCAATGGTATACATACTTACGTGCATCTGGACTTGTGACACAAAAAATATTGGCTGGAGTGGGAGACTAGTTAGTTTCTAAATGACTTCAGGCACATGACTCCCACTGAAATTCACAGTATTTCTTAGCTGAATATCTAATTCACATTAACCATCTGCCTGGCTGGAAGATTTGACAACCTGAACTTATAATTTATAACACTGCATTTCTGCTAGGTTCTCTTACTTTTCTGTCCCTCTTGGAACTCTTCAGACCCATGCTTTTTAACACTGTAAATAAATAGAATGTCTCCTGTAGAGATACTTGATGTGCTGACAGATCCACATCACCATCTGATTATGACAGAGAAAGAAATGGCTGAATTCTGAATATTGTTTGCCAGATAAATTGTTGTCTTGTACGTGAACAGTTTTGTGGGAACAAAGAATGATTACGACATATGCAAGTCAGCAGGAAGACTACTGTTCTGTTTCAACTCTCTTGCTTTGCTAAGCTTATGGAGATGTTACAGTGAGTAGGAACAGGGGCTTCTGCAGAGAAGGAGAGGGTAAACTTATTGTTCTCCTTTTGAAATGTGGAAGAGGAGCACTGGCGTTATCAGATTAATATTATGATTTCTTGTAGGGATCTCAACATTTTAAATGTAAAGATTTGGCTTTTCTTTTACAATTAATCCTCTTGTATTTCTGTTTTTCCAGTGTTATTCTGCTGCTATTTGGTTGTCTAAATACATGAACATGAAAAAACTGCTACTTGGTAACCTCTGCTTGTGCTGCATTTTTATCAAGCTCTCTGTGACAGAGAAACTTCATCTGGAAGAGCAGAAGCCCAAGCCTGCTTTACCCTACTGATTAAAGAGAATTAATAATTCAAATCTAAATGCTGTGTGTCTAAGTCACCACGAGGTTAAGGGACAGCTGAGCACTGCTTGGCTGGGCTGCTCAGCCTGGAAAAGGTGCAGTGTCTGCTTGGAGCTCCCTGAAAACCTCACCAGACTGCTGCTTCAGCATAGCACGTAGCCTTGATCTGAGGGTTATGCAGGCGGTGTCAGCTTGCTCATTATGGTTATGAAAATGCCTGTGTTCTGTGTTGAAACTTGCACTATTGTGCAAGCTCTGGAATATTGTAATCAGGTCTCTAATGACACTAGTAATTAGGACTTAAAGGTTTAATTTACCTACTA